ATTTTGTGTGGATTAACCAGCAGATTTGCCCCCCATGTGATAATGTCCAAGGAGGCTGCAGCCACCATGAGCCAAATGAAACAAAGCAGAGCAGTTGAAAACAGCAGGACTTGAAAATGTCTCCTCCACAGGGTCACCATGAGTGGAAGTTGACTCAAAGACAGTTGAAAACAACAAGTGTTGGCCCTGGTGTGTCCTGGCATGTTCATACTGGACCAGGTGCTGACATGGAACAAGTTTGTTGCTGCCTGATCACCTACCAATCCCTGTATCATTGCAGGGGCATGCTGTGAGCCCTTGAACTTCAGCCATGAAGTCCAACTGTAGCAACTCAGTGTATCCCTAAAAAGTCAATTTTTGGCAAGCAGGCCTGTGGTGGCAATAGGGCAAAGTAGTAATAGTATATCCAGGGAGGAAGAAGTAGGTAGAACTTGCAAAAATTCATATTTTACACTAAAGCTGCAGATTTCCTATGGAATTTTGGGTCTTGAAGTCCAAAAAAGGAACTATTCTAAGATCTGTCTGAAAGTACCTCTGTTTCTAAATGTAAGTGACAGCACTTCTGCTTGGTACAGAATCCATCATGCTTTTTCTACCACAAAAGCATTCAACAGTAGTAGCAGTGAATGTATCAGCAGCTGTATGTGGCTCCAAAGTCGTTGTTGTGCACCTTCGAGTCATTTCTGACTTATCGTGAACCTATCATGGGGTTTTCATGGCAAATTTCTTCAGAGGAGGTTTGCCACTGTCATCCCCTGAGGCTGAGAGAGAGTGACTTGCCCAAGGTCACCCAGTGGGTCAACACGGCACAGTGGAGATTCAAACCCTGGTCTCCACAGTCGTAGTCCAATGCTCAAATCACTACACCACACTGGCTCTGTGACTCAAATACTCCCTTCCTCCCAAAGATACAGTCACTTCTGGACTTGGAGATTGGGAGGTGTCTCAGATTTGCTCCTCCTCATCAAAGACATGGAAATAAAGCTTTTGTATCTCATAATTTCTAACAGACCAAACTACACTGGCTACGGAAATCACATGCAAGGCTAGTAAAATGAAGGTACCCTCAGTGCAGAAATGCTACCAAAGGAAAGCCACCTATGTGTGTGATGAAAGGACTAATAATCTCACATTTCCAGTAGCTTCTTTTTTTCAGTTAGTCTCAAAGGTGCTACAAAATGTTTATACATATTAATCTACTAAAGCTCATGCTACAAACTTCTTTCTTTTTTCTTTCTTTCAGTTAATCTCAAAGGTGCTACAAAATCTCTATACATATTAACTGTTCCTGACTTCCACTCCACCAAGAGCATCTGAGGAAGTAGACTAAAGTATATGAAAGCTCATGCTACAAACCTCTTTTTTCCAGTTAGCCTCAAAGGTGCTACAAAATCGCTTTACATATTAATTCTACAGACTTACACGGCTATATTTGTAGATTCTACCACTATGGAAAGCTAAACCAAATTTAGCCGAATGAAGTGGAAATCCATCAGTCTCTTCAAGAAACTTGTCCAGATACAGACAGATATCTTCTTTCTCAACAAATGCAAGCGGCAGAATGTCATTCCTAAAAGCCTGGGTGTGAAGAACCCTTTGCAAACTACATATCACATAGAACTCATGCGTTCTCCTCATGACAACTGAGTCTGCAGTAGCCAACATTCTTTTTCAGTTTTCTTCAGTTAAAGTCTTGGCCTCCTGTCTGTCCCTGACTTCCACTCCACCATAAGCATCTGAAGAAGTAGACTAAAGTCTACAAAAGATCATGCTACAAACTTCTTTCTTTTTTCAGTTAATCTCAAAGGTGCTACAAAATCTCTATACCTGTAGTTAAAGTAATAAAAGAGGACGATATTAAGGTTATTACTATTCTGCTTAAACACAAACACCTAAGAAGAGTCTTGCCCTCTAGTGACAACAAAGCACTATAGCATTAAGAAAATAAATATACTGTGTCTCCTTCCAATATTTTAAGGGTATGCAGCCTGACTTATTCATTCTGGCAGGTATACAAGCATGGTATAACACTCGCTTATGTGCAGACTTTGCTGCTGCCTGAATAACTCAATAATAAACCTTCCTATATATTACAGCGGGGTAGGCAACCTTTCCCCTTTAAGGGCCAAAGGACTTCAGCTCCCAGAAGCCTCAGCCATGTTGGCCAATAGTCCCACGTTGGCCAATAGCTCCTGGGATTCTGGGAGCTGAAGTCCCTCGGCCCTTAAAGGGGAAAGGTTGCCTACCCCTGTATTACAGGAATATAATGGCTTGTATGATTATAACTTTTGTTCTCAATTGTATATCTTCACGTTTTAGGATTTTTCTGGTTCTTTCATAGCCACTCTCCACACTCTCAATCTTCTTCTAATTTCTTGGCTGCAATCCCTGTTGCTATCAATGTTTGACCCCAGGTATGAGAACACTTTTACTATTTCTGTTTCCTCATTGCCTAGGCTGAATTTGTGTAGATTCTCTGTGGTCATTATTTTTGTTTTATGTTGGACAGTAGTCTTGCCTTTACACTTTCTTGCTTATATTTATATATATTTGTATGTATTTAATTTCTATGCAGGAGAAAGGCGGCATAGAAATTAAATAAATATAAAATAAAATAAAATAAAATAAAATAAAAAAATATTTTGGACTTCAGCTCCCAGAATTCCTGACTGTTGGCCAAGTTGGCTGAGGCTTCTGGGAGTTGAAGTCCAAAAATTCCTGGAGGACCCAAGTTTGGGAACCACTGTCTGGCAGTGATTCCCAAACTCTGGCCTTCCAGGTATTTTAGACTTCAGCTCCTAGAATTCCAGCCTATTGGCCAAGTCCAAAATCCTGGATGACTATAGTTTGGGAATCACTGGTCTAGGGCGTTAAAAACCATAGAGTTCCTGTATGTCAGGATGACTTCCTGCCTCTGGCTTGCCCTTCTAGGCAAAGGAGGGAGGTTTCTCTGTGGCCGCGCAGGCGCTCTCCGTGAAGTTGTCCGCTCTAGGCGTCCAGCAGCTTGCTTGGCTCGGTGGTCGGCCGCAAAGAGGAGCTGCGAAGGCCGGTCTGGAGGAGGCGAGTCCGGGGTCTCTCGCCGTTCTCTTGGAGGGGAACCGGAAGAGAAAGTAGGGAGGCCTAGGCCTAGGCCTGGCTGTAACCAGGGACGGAGGTATGGAAACCGACGGGAGTTAGGGGGGCGAAAGAGGGGAGAGCTGAGAGCATTTGCACAGGAAGGCTGGAGGGGAGGGGCCTGTTTGTGAGGTGGTTTTTCTTGATGTGTCTCCCAATAATAACAACAAATGCCTAAGTGCCCCAAAGGCACCGGACCCTGTCTGATCTTGGGAGCTAAGCAGGGTCAGCCCTGGTTAGGACTTGGGTGGGAGACCGCCAATAAATACCACATGCTGTAGGCTGTTTTAGAGGAAGAAACACACACACAGTACTAATACTAATATATGCCTAAGGGCCTTTGCAGACTGCCAGAAATAGTGCAAATTGAGTCCACTTTAAGGGTTAGGGTTAATGCTAGGGAATCATGGGAATTGGGTTTTTTTCTGAGACATTGAGCCTTCTCTGTCAGAGAGTTCTGGTGCCACAATAAAATACAGTTCCCATGATTCCCTAACCCTAACCCTTAAAGTGGACTCAGTTTGCACTATTTCTGGCAGTCTGCAAAGGCCCTAAGTACCCTAAAGGCACCAGATCCCATTTGATCTTGGAAGCTAAGCAGGGCCAGCCCTGGTTAGGACTGAGATGGAAGACTGCCAGTGAATGCCACATACTGTAGGCTCTGTTTCAGAGGAAGGAAAACACACACACACACAATAATAATAATAATAAGGACAATAATACATGCCTACATACCATTAAAGCACCAGATCCCATCTGATATTGGAACCTATTGGAACCTGGTTAGGACGTGGATGGGAGACTGACAGTGAATACCATATACTGTAGGCTCTGTTTCAGAGGAAGGAACTGGCAAAACCACCTCTGAGGATTCCTTGCCTGAAAAAACCCAATGGAATTCAGGTGACTTGAGAGCATTATTATTATTATTAATGTTGCCTTACACCTTCATGTCGCTTCTGACTTGTGGTGACCCTAAGATGAACTTATTGCGGGGTTTTCTTGGCTGTAGAGGTATCAGTTGGTAATTATTCACATTTACCCTTTATGAAGTTTCTAATCCTAATTCTTGTACTAGTCCTATGTAGTTTCCATCGAGAGAACCAGCTGGGTCTAGTGGTTTGAGCATTGGGTTATGATGCCGGAGACCAGAGTTCGATTCCCCGCTCATCCATGGAAACCCTCTGGGTGACCTTGGACAAGTCACACTCTCAGCTTCAGAGGAAGGCAATGGCAAGCCACCTCTGAACAAAACTTGCCAAGAAAACTCTGTGACAGGATTACCATAGGGTCACCATAAATTGGAAATGTCTTGAAGTCACAAAACAACAACACAGAAGTTTCCATTTTATCTGTGCGCTGTAAAGTCTACATGTTATTCTTGATCAATTGTGGTTTACTGAGGTTCAAAAGAAGCTGATGTGCCTTTTAAGAGAGTAGTTCACCAGCTGTAGCTTCTACTTATCGCAGTGTGATGCTAATAGTGCCATGCAACTTTCCAAAGTATAGAGTCCCACTTAGAGTTGCATCTAATAATGCCAACTTCTGCCTTCCTTAGGTTTTAATGTTTTATTTCCATTATAATCCCAAGGCTTTAGAGTGGGTTTCTTCACTTAATTTACCACAATCTGTGTTAAGTGAGATGCTTTGAGTCCTGATTCTGAAGGGAAAGGTGGGATGTAAATAAAGGTGAGAGCCAGTGTGGTGTAGTGGTTTGAGTGTTTGGCTGTGACTCTGGATACCAGGGTTTGAATCCCAGCTTGGCCATATAAACCCACTAGGTGATCTTGGGCAAGTAACTCTCTCTCAGCCTCAGAGGATGGCAATGGCAAACCCCCTCTAAAGAAGTTTGCCAAGAAAATCCCATGATAAATTCGCCTTAGGGTTGCCATAAGTTGGAAACAGCTTGAAAGCACATAACAACAAATAACAAAATAAAGGTAATGAGACTACGTGTTTTCTACAAAGACAGTGAGTGGTATCATAAAGACAGTGTTTTGGAATTTCTTTGCTAAGGTCTCAAATGGCCATTAGGTAAGTCACAAACACGTGTAATATGGCAACATCTGAGCAAATTAACAATACTATCCTACACATGTCTATTCAAAACAAAATCTCATTGAGTTCAGCGACACTTACTCCTGGGCCATTTAAGTATGTATAGGATTACAGCTTGATTAGTCCCATGCTCAGTCACATAGGAGTAAGACTTACTGACCAAGTGGAGTTCACTTCTGTGAAAACATGTGTAAGATTAATTTGTAAAAAAAAAAAAAAAAAAAAAAGCTATAAATAATTGGAGGTGGGAGTTTACAGTGATATCCTGTGCATCTCTGAAGAAAAGTGAGTTTATTGAGCTGAGCAGGACATAATTTAAGGTATATGTTTATAAGGTTGCAGCTTAATTCTGTATATTCCTAACAGGTGTATTAATAATAACAGTAGACATACCATCTATGAACAAAGACGAGGTGGAGGAAAAGGTGGTTGTTAGCTATAACCAGAGGATTGAAGATCCTCTTTGTTTAGAAGCAACACATTTCTGATTACCAGGTGCTATAAACAAATGATAGGTGGTCAGCCTTTCCTCCTTGTTTTTGTGCTTTGAGTGGCATTTGGTTGGCAACTCTTGTAGACCCAATCCTGTATCAGTGTTAATATTAAGATCCAGAAAGGCAATACTATTACTACTCCAATTCCTCAGTTGTTATTCTGGTTTGCGGAATGGGATTTTATTAAAATGTTTGTTGTATTAATATTAATCTTTTCATGTTAAATATATTCTAAACTAACCCAAATATTTGCACTTGGGTAGATTAAAAATATATACATTCATGGGCCCCTGTGAATGTGGAAAAACCACAAATAACAAAAACACCACGTTTTTACCTGAGAGAACACCTCTCTAGCAATCTCTAGTACAACTGTGTCAACATCTGCCAGACATTGACCATAGAATTGCGCTGGAGGAGCTACAGATGCCTAGTAGAGTGTTCTTTCTAGGAATCTCTAGTTCCTTCAGTGCAACTTTTGGTTAAGGTTGGCCACAGAGTTGCGCTGGAGGACCTAGATATTCCTAGTGAGAACATATTAATAAAATCTGTGAATAATCAAATCTGCAAAAGCCAAAGCCACAAATGTGGAGGGATGAGTGTGTTTTGCAAAATAATACTATAGTGCATGCCATCCAGTATCAATTTATAATCCATTTTCTGTGTCATCACCACCAGTGCTATCTTTGCAACTTTTCATTTTCTCTACTATGCCTGTCTGTAAGGGGCCTCACTCCGAGAACCATACAAAGAAGTGGCAATGTCGTGAACATCAAAGGATGCCAATACTAGTCTTGATTTTTAGAAGAATAGATTGGAGAGCCTTTCCACTAGCTATATCTGGGCTGACACATTATTCTGTTCCCTTTCAGGTGCTGATGGAATCACTCTGCATGGTCGGGTGGCCCTGAAATGCATTCGATGTTTTAGTTTCACTGGATAGCAGCAAGCTCCTGCTTCAGGAATGGCTCCACAGTTCCGCAGTTATGTCTGGGATCCTGCTCTTATTCTTTCACAGATTGTGCTCATGCAGGCAGTTTACTATAGCTCCCTGGGGCTCTGGTTGGCTCTGGTGGACAGCTTGGTCCAAAACAGCCCTTCCCTTGACCAGATTTTCAGTTATGAGGTAGGACATTCTTCTTTGGGCTGGGAGAGTGAAATCTTAACAGTTAAGGAAAAATTAGAAGACTTTCAGGAAAAAATGCTGCAAAGCTAACATGATTGCTGCCATCACTTACCTTTGATATCCAAAGAAATCCTAGAGCCAAAATATGACTATAAAAAAATAAATACAGACATATTCATAACCCAGTTTCATTTCCTACTCCCTCCAGAGGGAGAAAGGGCAGGGTGGGATAGAAGGAAAATGTTGGAAAGGAAAAAATTGACCAGCAAAGAAAAAAATCACTTATTTTCTCTTTTGCCAATCCTATGGTGTTTTGTTTCTCAAAAAAGTAACAGAAGGTAATTGAAAGCAGTGAACAACTCAACAAGTAGCATAAGTTAACTTTTACATCATCATAATGAGTAAGAGCATCAGGTTGCCTTTAAAACATTTTGTTGGTTAGGAGAATAGATTACCGTATTTTCCAGTGTATAAGACGACTGGGCGTATAAGACGACCCCCCACTTTTCCAGTTAAAATACAGAGTTTGGAAAGAGTATGACTTCCAAAACTGTTGTTGTTGTTGCTGTGCACCTTCAAGTCATTTCCAACTGATGATGACACTAAGGTAAACCTATCATGAATTTCCTTATACCCGGCACATAAGACGACCCCCCCCCCACTTTAACTCCAGATTTTGCAGGTTAAAAAGTAGTCTTATACGCCAAAAAATAAGGTACTTTTGAAACTTAAATTTCCAAGCTCTGGCCCAAATATTGCCCTTCTGGAGAAGACATGTGCCATATAGTTATGCAAGAACTGATATTTATTTATTTATTTATTTAGGTTGTTGCATCCCATCCTATAGCCAAAGATCTTGAGGTTGGATTACAATAGATCTCTGTAAAATAATATATAACAATTTTAAAAGCCTAAAAATATATTAAATCATTTATCAGTTAAAAGCAAGACAAAAGACCAGTTGAACAATTTAAAATAGTACCAACCAGATCATTTCACATGCACAACCTAGATAAAATCAATTAGGTCCAATATTTATTTATTTATTTAAAATGTTATATCCCATGAATTTTTATGTTAGATAAAGTAAAGCTGTTACCATGGGCAACAGATGGTAGCAGACAGCAGTGAGGTGTTGAAAAAGAGTGAAATGTGCCTACACCCTGTCATCTAAGGTAGTCTGTTGCTTTCAAATGTGATAAAGACAACTATCCTACCACTAGTGCTAAACAAAAGTTAACTGTTCCTCCAGTTGGCTTTTGTACAAAGAATGGGAGAGGTTCCTACTTTGGCCTTCACCTCTGGCAGCAAAATGTTTTGGGCCAGCTCTGTTAGGAGCTCCATCTGAAAGTAGCCCAAGAGTATATTTCTGCAAGCTTCTGTCCCCAAGAGCCATGTTGCCTGTGAAGCTTCAGTTCATCTTGTCCTCCTGCTTTTGAAACAGCAGGAAATCTAGATTAAAGATTTGTTTTGTGGAGAGTGGATTTCAGCTCCTCCTTAGATGGAATTTAGTCAGTCAGCCTTTCAATAATACATGCCGTATTGTTAATAATGAATTTATTTGACCCAGTCCTGGTTCATTTCCTAAATTTATTTACACACTTTCTCTCTTAGTTGAAGAATTTGTTTTCCTTTCCAAAGTTAAATGAAATACTATTTACACTTTACTGTGAATGGTGTATTCAAAAGCGGAAGGGTTAAATACATCTTGAGCCATCTTGTTTGTCTTTATAATGCTGAACAGGTTTTGGGATTTTCCACCTCACCTGGGAGACTTGCCATGATGGCTTTTATCCTGAATGCACTTACTTGGTAAGTCACCATTTTGATTTGGTTCTCTGACATTTCTAAGAATAAATATATTTTACAGTGATGAAATAAGTTTTGAATTGTCCTTTGGAGAAAACAGAGCTTTTCAAATAATCTATGTTATTAAAAATTGCTAAGGAGTTAAGTGTCTGGTAGTGATTGGTTACTTTTTTTCTCTGAATACTACAGTTTCAGTAAAACAGTCTTTTTTGTTTTTACAGTGCCATAGGCTTGCTGTATTTCATTCGACGAGGGAAGCAGTGTTTGGATTTCACTGTCACGGTTCACTTTTTCCACCTGCTGGGTTGCTGGATTTACAACACGCACTTTCCAACTGCTCTAACGTGGTGGCTTGTACATACTGTATGCACGGCACTCATGGCTGTGATTGGGGAGTACCTCTGCATGCGAACAGAACTGAAGGAAATTCCATTAAACTCAGCCCCTAAATCCAATGTATAGACTGTCAGAGGTACCACTCCTCATCAGCTTTAGCATCTTGGTGCTAAAATGTTGTACATGAGAATGCAGGTGAAGAAACCCAGTAGGTCAATTTGGACCTCTTAAAAACACTCTTTTGGAAGGCTGAGACTGTAATACTTCCATGTGCACTAGAGTGTTATTTTGATAAGATACCTCTTGCCACTTATGTAGGCTCATCCATTTTGCTCAAGCAAGAATTTGTTCAAGCAAATTCAGTGGTGGACAACAAAAATATAAGGATGGAAGCAAAAAGTGGACTATTCTTGTGAGTCCGTATCGTGAATACCGTGTTGTGATTATCAGATCTGAGCTTTTCTGTAGCATGGACACCATCTGGATAGCAGGCTCCAATCAGTCCATAAGGAAAACCTGAGATTTCTTTTCTCCCTACATCTGATTTACTTCCAACAATCTTTTCAGTTGAAAATCAAGGAGATAAAACAATGTAAGTGGGTATGATGCTGTATTTCTCACTTGGCTTCTGTGATGCTGTAAAGTAGCTAAACACAAAGAGAAAGTAATCATATTTACCAGATTGGAAAAAAATAATATTGGAAACATAATAAAAACTGCAACTTTTTATTGGAGCATTATGATTTACATTGTTACAAGATTACATTGTGTATATCTGCAGCAATAGAGGAATAGGTGTTGTCAGATATGAATGTAATTCAAGGAACTATGTAATTGAAACTTTAAACCTACCAGCTCTGAGAAGATAAAGAGCACATAGGACAAGTCAGTTTGCCAGGCTTGTTGATCATATCTGATGCAGAGGGCTAGCTGTCTCTGCAGAT